ACCCCCGTCTGCCTAATTGCCAAGCCTGTGCCTACTTTCCAGTAGATGTGCCATAAATAATCCCTTCTTTTTCTTCAAGTAGTTTCTCTAGGTTTCAAAAAGAACATTAGAATATATTCATGTTAAGAGATGATTTTAGACTGTGGAATTTTTAAAAAGTATGTAGCTGTTGGAGAAAGCTTTATAGTTAATTTGATCAATAAGACTAAACTTTAATTTCAAAATCTAATACATTCCTTGATACTATCTATTCAAGTATAACATAAAGAGGAAAAGTAGAATTCATAAACAAAAAACACACTGAATAGTCAAAAGAGACTGTACAAGATTATTTTTAGAAACAGATTGATTTTGAGAAAGAGAAATGAGGTTTAAGTGTATTAGCAGTTAACCATATTTTAACATTGGTCTAGAGTTAGACAAACAAATCGGTTTCAATTCACGTCAGAGATGTTTCAATGTAAGGACCTAAAGCGTGTTGTTTTTAATAGAGCAGTATGACTAGTTGGAACAATTTCTTTATGTAATCCCTCCTTTAAAAAGTTGCTGAGCTGGAGTAATCCAGAGACAAGCTGTCCTTTGTAGCTTTTTGTGGCATATTTGAGAATGGAATAGTCAGAGAGTTTTGAGTCTTAATGATGTGTCTGTTTTTACATGTAATTTTCAGTCAAATGCCAAGATGAAAAGCTTGTCTGCTCCCCCCACTCTACCCCCAAGAAAAATAGAGTTGTTTTTCTTCTGTATATTTACATGGGAGTAAGGAGAAATAGGTTTTTGTACTGAGAGTAGAAAAAGGACATTGCACAAATCAAGTGTATTTTAAGTGGGTCTTGAACTTGATTATACTTTGATACTTTCAATAGCTTGAAAACTGCACCTTGGTTCAGTACTCGAATTTAGGATATAAATGCCTTTTTGCTTAGGTCTCTAGGTCCTTAGTTAGATTTTACCCTCTTCTTAGTGCTACTTGGGCAGCAGAGCATAGTGGTTTAGAATCTTGTTACAAAAAGTGTGTTCTGTGGGCCAGCAGCGTTGGTGTAACTACGTGGTTTTTAGGAATATGCAATCTTAGGCCCAACCGCATTAGGTTAAAAAAAGTCTTTGGTAACATTTGGTAGGCCCAAGGTGTACTGAGTTTGAGTGGCCATACAGATTTGTTTTGTTTTACTTTGAAGATCAGAATTTCATTTTTGTGAGTGATAGAGCACTTGGGAACATGGCTTTGGTGTATGGCAACAATTGGCTTCCACAGGATTAGGCAACAAAAGCAAATTTAGTTGCTTGCCAATGTTGGGCAATCAGAGGCTCCCCTGAGGGTCAGAACCTACCTGTATAAAAGTTATGACATGGAGGACTTGCTCCCGAAGAACCCTAAAGGGACTGAGCCATGTGTGTCCAGCTTCCTGAAGTCACCGATCACATAAGTCACAAATGGCGTTTGGACTGCCAACGCCTAGGGTCGGTCTGCTGTGGGAGGGGGGTGGTTTTTTAGTACATAAAAAATGTTTTCAAACCCTACAAGACCTATTAGAAAGTCAGTAGTATTCCTTGCTAGAAGCAGCTGAACTCGTAAAACAATGTTTTTAGAAAAATGGTTCTGAAATAAGCCTAGAGACATAAATTATAGAGCTAGTCATAAAAGACTTTTCTTCTCTGAGATGAACAGAACACCCATCAGCAAAAGTAATAAGGAGCCGTGGTACTTTTCCAAGTTAAAAGACGCAATAAATAATGCCACAGTAAACCGTGTTTACTCTAAATACAGTCTGAACCCTAACTGCTAATTATCATTTATCCCCAAGATATAAAACAAGCTTGACTTAGATAACTGGTTTTCCTTAGCACCAGAACCTAAGCTGTGTAAAATGATTGATTAAAAAATTAAGATGCCTACTGAATTAGGGAATGGAAAAGATTCATCAGAGAAGACCAGGTCAACCAGAAAGTCTTATATGAATCTTTAGCAATAATCAAGCTGTTGAAAACAGGAAATCCTCTAAAGGGCACTGTCTCTCTACATTCAATTAAACATCAAGTCCTGTCTGCTATTTCTTCAAATGTAACTTGAATTTGTACATTTTTGTTTTTACTGCAGCCAACCTCATTCAAACAGATGCACATGCATGCGCATGCACACACACCACACATGCATGTAGCCATATATATGTATATACACACACATGAATATATCCATATACATGCATGCATGTGTGTGTAGTGTGTATGTGTGCATGTATCTCTGCTTGAACGAGGTTAGTGTCTATGTGTGTGTGTGTATGCATGTGTGTATTTTAAGAGAAGAAATAGTCCAACAAAACTACGTGCACTATACTTGGGAACTTGTTTGAAATGCAATGTCTCAGGCCACACCCCATACCTACTGAATCAGAAATTCACTGGGTGAGGTCCATCAGTCTGTGTTTTAACAAGTTCTCCAGGTGATGATTCTGATGCACATTGCAGTTTGTAAACCACTGCTACAGACAATGCATGGAAGACTTATTTAATTCTGGCTACATAATGGAATGTGAGTCTTAAGTCCTGACACTGGGGGAAAAAAGTACAGCTGACAGAGTTGGGAGGAGATGTAGAAGAACAGGTACAGGTTATTATAACCTTATTTTGTGAAGGAGTTAAGATATTTTGCAGTTGATAGAACAAGAAGTAAAATGGAAAATATGTCTTAAAAGTAACCAACAGAAGAATTAAAATTGTTATACATTGAGAGGAAGGGAGAGGGGTGTTCGTGGGGAGTGTAAGTTGATTAAAACATCGTGTTCTAACAGGCCATGCCTCATAGGTATTTAAAGGTGATAAGTGAACTAGTGGAAAAAGTTTATCTAGAAAATTGAGAGTAACTGCCAGAAGACCCCCACAATGAAGTGGTTAAATATGATTGCTTTTGGGGGAGCCATTTTGTACTCTTTGACTTTTTAACCATATGCTATATTACTTTGATTAAAATAAAAAAAAATGTGCTTCATTCTATTGTGGAGGAATATCTACTTACTAAATTGCAGAAAGGGCTGCCTGTCACCTTCCTGGGTTCTTTTTCACAAGGGTGAAAGCCTCTGATGATTATAATTACATGTGGCATCTTCCGTATGGGTTCTAGGCAAGTGGATTTGTAGAAATGTGGTGTGTGTGTTTCTGAGGCGCTTGTGGATTGTGCTGAGTAATTAACCTTTAGTTTGTATTCTTCCCATATTTTTATTACTTCAGAGAACATCAGGAGTCATTGAAAAACTAAAACCATGTATTGGTTGAATGCTTACATGTTTTTTATAGAATCATTCATGGGCAAGACATCATAAGTAACACCTTCTTTAGGTTTTTGTTTCCGGAGATAGGTCTGAATGCCGTCCACTTTCTATACTTGAATTATGCCTCCCGTGAATTAGCTTTTAAAGGCTAATGGATTAGGAGCCAGTTTGGTACTTGCACAGATCTTCACCCAGTTGACTTCAGGTGCAGTCTTCCTACATTTTTATAGAACTTCTTTTATTCAAAGGTAATAATCTATTTATAGATAAGAGATAAAGTGTTTTAATCTTACTCAGGGGATCTCTGATGAGCCCAAAATGAAATCCAAGTGGAACAATGAGCTGAGCACCAGTGCACAATTGCTGTGCTAGCTGATGCTTTAATCCTCTCATAAAATATTTATCTACTCTTTCTGTCATATTGATTTTTAGATCTTTTCCCTTGGAAAGTATATTTTGTTAGCGTGCTAATTGTCATTGAAATTAAAGAAGTATGAATGCATTCTTACTTTTCAATATGCTTTAAAATTGGTCAAGCCACTTAAAAACACTATATTGGAATAATTTCAGAATTATAGAAAGTTGAAGAAATAATACAAGGAACTCGCATATGTCCTTTACCCACATTCAGCAAATTTTAGCATTTTGCCATATTAGCTTTATTATACTTATTTTTTCTCTCTCTAGCTACACACTCTTTATTTTGTCCTAACCATTTGAGAGTAGACTGCATACATATGTTCCTTTTCTTAATACTTTAGTATGTGTTTCCTAAGAACAGGATATTCTCTTACGTAACCACTGTACACACTTAAGACCAGGAAATTTAACATTCACACAATACTTGTATCTATAGTCCATAGTTCCAGTTTTGTCCATTATTCCAATAATGTCCTTTGTCGCATTTTTTCTTTCAGTGATCTAGTGTAGGATCAAATGTTACATGTAGTTGTCATGACTTTTTAGTCTTCTTTAATTTGGAATAGTTCCTCAGCCTTTCCTAGTCTTTCATGACATTATTGCTTTTATGATGTTAATATTTTTGAAGAATGCCAGCTGGGTATTTTATAGTATGCTCCTAATTGGGGTTTTCCTGATGTTTCCTCGTGGTGAGACTTGGATTATTCATTCCCAGCCAGGGTGCTACATAAGGAATGGTGCGTCCTTCTCAGAGCGTCGTGTATGTTGTTCTTAACCGATAGTTACATACTTTTTCTAAATAAAAATGAATGCATAAGGAGCAAATACATGCTTTTGAAAAAACATGGAAGTTGACTGCCATGCTTTGTACAATAGATTTTTCTACAGAAACATGCTTGTGACACGATCATTTTCTGTCATTAAAACTGTTACAAGTTTTATGATGGATTTTAACAATTAGTGTTTCATGACATCTCATGTTATTTACGGTGTTCTGCATAATACCTTGGCACTCAGTAAATATTCTTGTTGACTATTCAAGAGTGTCACAGCGTCTGCTGTCTGATGGAGGTTGGCGATCTTTACATTATATGATAAATATGTTTGAATTTTTTTTTGGTAATGAAATCAGATTCTTAGACTTAAGACACTTGGGAAATATAAGAAATACCAGAAAATGCCCAAGGCTTACTTGATCAATGTGTTATTCTTACATTCTCTTTAATTAATGTTTTTCACAAGTTACCATAAACAATTTAGAGTCATCATATGCCTTTGACATTTTTGCCCACAGCTGTCTTCTGTCTCATTGTCGTCTTTTCTCCAGGCTGACTTGTGTCTTGCAGGTTGATAGTTCCCTGATGATGATTGGGGTTTCGCCTGGTCAGCATTAATTGTAAGTATGGCAGGAACTTACTAAATTTATACTTAGCTAATTAAGATTTTATAATAATTCTGATACGCTGATTTGAACTTTGTCTGTTTAAGGCAAAGAGAAAAGGTTTTGCTTAGCTAATTAAAATTAAACAAGAAGGAATGTTTAATCTACTTGAGGCAAACAACTGTTTTCAAGAGCTTGTAAAATCAACACAAACTAAGGATATGCCAATGAAAATTAAAGCACTAATGGATTCTCTAAGGCACAACTTTTGACCAGCCTCTTCGTTAGCATTTGTTGTGATGATTAGGGAGTTGGGACTCACTGGTATTTTTCAAATTCTGTTCATGACTCACAGTAAGAAATACATACTATATTGCTATCCATCATGCACACAAGTAACTGAAACAAAAGTTACAGAAAACAGTATTTAACTTTTACCTCTTGTGATGCACTCTATTTTTATTCTCTTATATCTCAAATTTTGGAAAGTGCTTTTTGTGACCGACTACATAGATTTTACAGATTGATCAAGATTCACATTTTGAAAAAGTACTGCATTAGATTTTGAACTTGATTACAATGACCATGGCTTCATCTTTCCGTTGCCGGTGCTGGGAGTGCCTGGCATGAAGTAGGTGCTCTTAGATGTTATTGAATGAATTGGTGGTTGGAAAGAGGGGTAAGAAATGAAATAGTTATCAAAGGAGTAGGTGAAGTTCTTGGGTGTAAGCAAGGTGGCAGAGGTCAAGTACTTCTGGTATTTATGTTTGGTGTAAGATTTTTGTTTTTGGGTAACATGAACCAGCTTGAGATAGCTTAAGCTAAGAAGAATATCTTAAACGGATTCAGAGTGTCTTGCAGAACCGAAGGCCAGGACTGCATCTTGCAACTTGGGAAGGGATTGAAACTAGGGACTGGAAAGCCTTTAAGAGCCCAGGCATGTTACCCACGTTTTTCCCATCTCCCCTTATCTCTGCTTGGCTGCTTTTCTCCCCTCCTGCAGAATGGTTACCTCTCTTGCTTAGTCCACATGACAGACAATTTATGTCCAAGTTTCAGTCCACCCTTTAGCATCACTTGTGACTTGCATATGGTAGAATAAATTAGTCTTTTGGTATGTACTGTAGGCTAGGTGTTCACTCACTAGTTTTAGATTAGATCTTCTCTGATACCCTGCTGTAAAATTTAGGGTTTCTAATGGCTTTCTTTGATTTACTTTCTGGGTTATATGAATACACATTATGCAGGAGAGGGCTGGAATGATAGATCTACAAGAGCAGTCAGTAGGTCTGGACTTTGCTCATTAGGGAAACTAAACGACAACAAGACTGCCCTGGTGCTACTCAGAGAGATTCTGATTTATTAACCTGGGATTGATTGGTATGTTCGAAAAGCACCTGAGGTGGCGCTGATCCAGGAGAGACATTTTCCTAGAGAAGTGGAGGATAGGTGATTGCTGACACCTTCGGTGCAGTGCACATCAGTTTGGAATTGGGGAGAATTAGAAGAAAATAGAACCGGACAAAAATCCTAATTAGGGAACACCAACATTTTGGTGGGGGCAAGGAGGTGCCAGCCAAAGAGAACCTGCAAACATGACACCTAGCTCTTAATCGCTCCCTTGTTTTAATTCAGGTTTTTGATGTATATCTTGCATTAGCCTTCTGTCTTACGACCTAGAGTGGATTGTATTATCAGGATTTACCTTAAATGCCTGATTCACATGTATATTGTTGATTGACAGACCAATGCAACTGATAAACAATAATCCTCTTATCCTCGATCTAGAAAATCATGACCTTAAATTCTTACCAGCAGCAAATGCCTGTATCTGCCTCCAAGTTTATTTAAAAGAAGAATGCATGAAAGTAACAGTTTCCAAGAATTCATTTTATTTTCTGAATTCAAAGTCACCTGTCATTTTTGTCATAAATTCTTTGAGGCATGAAATAGCCTGCCAGTTGTCTATTGCTCTGAAAGTTAATGAATGGTTATCAATTTATCATGGGTAATAACCTAGCTGCAAATTGTAAAGAAGGCATTCTGTCACTTCCTAGCATTTTTGCCTCATGGCTGTACCTGCCTTTCTACAGCATCAGCCTTCTCTACAGGATTTGGAGGAAAGTTTCCCTAAAGCTTTTAATAGAGCACATTTCTTACTTGGAAACCTCTTTACACTTGGGATAATAGCACAGTGAAAATTAGCTGGTTATATTTTGCTTTGTGTAATGATTTTGTATAAATAAAATTTCCCGATGTAGGACATTATAGTTTTACATTGGACCACTACCGCATTATAGTTTTAGTGATATTTAATTTTTATTTCTAATTTATATTCCATTCACTTCTTGCAAGTAAAGTGTAGCACTTTTCCAGCTTTCTAGTGTCTTGGTTAGGTAGTTAATGATTAGAGACTGTTTGAAGGAACCTCACTTTTTAAAGGCATACCACCCCCACATCAGCTAAGAGAACTCTGTAACATGAGCTCTTTCAATTCAAGGTCTTGGATTTGACTTTATCTGTATTTAAAAACAGCAGCAAGAACAAACTGGGTCCATATCTTATTCAACTTCACATTTCTGGCACTGAGCATAGTATTATAACTCAGTAAATACTCGCTGAATTGAATTAATGTGAACTATCACCTGCACTTTCTCAATTCTAAGTTTGTGGTATTGTGAAGTGGGTTACCTTAGGGATGTGACTTTTATTTTAGCCACATAAACAGAGGTGACTACATAGATAAATGTGATTACTTTAAGTTGCGAACTTAAGAATTTCGGTCCCAGTTCTTTCATTGTTGAAGAGCCGCCCTCAGAACTTGCTTCCAGTCTTGTCGCATTGTATAGATTCTTGGAGTATTTTTATCTGTTTCATTTTGGCTCATTCAGTAGAAGCCTAGCACAGTGGCTTGTGTATAGTAGTGGTTAGTTAAGTTAATCAGCAAATATGCTTTAATAAAGTAGGAGTATAAACATTGCTGAGTTTCCTTTGAGGTTTTAGTGTGTTTTCAGTAGTCTCTGATTGGTTATTACCATTGCTATAGATTATTTACCTACATATTTAAAAAGCTTCAGATCCTTTCAGCTTCTAAAAGTTGGAGGAAATAAAATTCCATTCTGATGGACTAATTCTGGTATTCTCATTCCTCAAACATATGTGGAAAGCAGAGAGAGAAGTTCTTCCATTATTGGTTTGTCTTACTCATTTTATGCATTGCTTTGGGTTTTCTTCATGTGTTTATTTTCTCTCCCCAGCCATATAATAAATATTTTTCTTGATGGAGCCATAGCTACATAATATTATAACTGCTGTAGAGCTGTGCACATAGTAGGAACTTTATAAATTGTTGATGGGTTGCTTGAGTGACTGATTAGTTATGGCCAAACCTTCACTGTGAAAGCATTTCCCCCACCTCAATGCATAGCAGTTTCCTTATGGATGCATATCTGTCCTATAAAAATATTTCCTACAGAGAATCCCAGTTTCCCTTCTTAACTCATTTCATAGTTGAATGAGCCTTACTTTTCAGGAAGCATATCTCTGTATCTTTATTCAGGATTTCTCCTTTGGCAATGTGAACAATTGTCTCATGAGAAATAGAGTGAAGAAATAAAATAGAGTCACTATAGTCAAGCTGCTAAGTTACTACAACCAAGTAGGTTGAGGCCTGAGGAAATGATTCTATTCTTGTTTGAACTAGCCTGGGAATTTAAACTTTTGAACTTTCTAGACCTGTGGTAATGCCTGGATGTACATCAAACCTCCAGAGAACCCTCTGGTTATTCCCTGAAGGACAAACGAAAGGATGTTCACCTATCTAGACCATCTCACACCCAAATCCAGACCACTGGTCGTCTAGAGGATCACCATCTTGGACCAATCCAGAGGCTAAGAATTCAGGACTGATTTTTCTCAAGAATGTACTTTTTACTATAAGAACTCTTAGCTTTTCTTTCTTCTTCAGAAGACTCTGGGTATTGCCTGATTGTGTTTCCAGTTTGCAAACCCTAAGACCTGTGAACAAATCTTTACCACTTATTTTAGCTAAAGCCTCCAGATCCTTTTTGAGTTTGTCGACACTCACATATGACCTCATGTGTGTGGGCTGGTCTGCAGCAGCTGTCTTCATCTAGGCCTTAACTACTCAACCTTAGTCAAAGTCTTTAACTGGAATAAGAGTCAGTGAGAAGATCCGCTTGTTCTATCATATTTCCTGCTCCCTCTCATGGTTCAGAGAGTTGGTGCTTGTTTAGTTAGTAAGATATGGACTGCTGTATGGGCATGGTTGAGGTTTACTAATACTTTGCCAAAAAGCTGCTTTGTATCCTGACTATGCTCTTGGTCTGGTAATACAGGATTAAATTTGCCTGAGAGTTTGGGCATAAATAGATTATTTGACTGGGTCACTTGCTTACCTGATCCAGGCAGTTGGGGCAATGGTGGCCTTTTTGGACTTGGTTTGCTTTCTACTCGGGCAACTTGTCTTAAGTGCTTGAGGAGCCCTTTGAGCCAGTCCTTGGAATCCTTCGCTTCCATATAATCTGGAGTTCAGATTCACTGATAAACTAGCAGGGCTGTAAATTTTTATTCAAATAGGAACTGTATTATTTTCACTGATAAACTAGCAGAGTTACAGATTTTTATTCAAATAGGAACTATATATTTCTTTTTATTTCCAGTTAGCATTCTTGGTCACAAGTGTAAATGGCATCTTTGTTAAACATATATTTTTCTAAGTTTTAGTGTTAACATGTGGAAATATTAGTGATTTTTTAATGTGATTTTGTAATCAACTACTCCACTAAATTCTCATTTCTAACAGCATTTTGGCTTTTTTCCCCTTGGGTTTTCTAGCTAGAGTCATATCATCTGTATAAATGGATGCTTTTGCCTTTTCCTGCCCAATGAGCAGTTTCATATAGCACAGTGGTGAAGGGCATAGGTTTTGGAACAACTACTGCTTGGATTTAATCCCATCTCCACTAACTTGCTAGCTGTGTGACTTTGGGCAT